AAAAAATGCAGAAATGACTATTTTGTATTAAAATAATTAATTTATGTTAAATTTAGGATGCACTACTGTTTCAGTTTATATACATATTTCAAGGGTGACAAAACGTTTTCTCCAAAATAAAAATCTATCCGAGGGCTGCGGTCAAATGCAATAATATAATTCATGAAATACAAATACTTCTTTAGTACAGTTTTTATTTTAATGATTATGTCCTGCTGGAGTGTGACATGATTTGTTTGTGTACAAACTAATACAGTATCAGAATTTTATATATTTATACTTCTCATTCAACCGCAGTTAAATTAACTCTATCTAGGAGGCACAATTTATATGAATAGCGTTTTTTTTTTTTTTTACAATAACAAGCTGGAATGAAAACAAGCAAAAATTAAATAAAAGTAGCGACTTTCTACTTCTTGCCCTTTTTTTTAAATGTAAGGAGTAGAAAGTACAGATAATTGTGTAAAAATGTAAGAAGTAGCAACACTGGGAAAAAAAAGCCAAACTTTTAAAGACATTCAGAAAACTTGAAGAACTCATGATCAAGACCACTTTAGTCTGACTTCCAGGAGGCTAAATACTAAGAAATTAAGAGCAGTTTAATTCTTTAGCACAGTACCGTATATCTAACACTAAAAGACAATCTCTACTAAACACATTTATTGTATTAAAATGATCTATGGTGGGCTTATAACAGAGATGGATGTGACATACACACAGTCTCGCAGTAGCAGCTGCTCATCGGCGTCATCCTGTAGTTTTCTACATCAGTACCAACCATCTAGAGAGCTGCTCAGCCCCCACTAAACAAAACCTCTCTGTGTAAGTATGCAGCTGCAGCTTCCGAGATGCCCTAAACAGATCCGTGACCCAGTGTGGAGGGCCTGGGGACTTCAGCCACAAAGGAAGGGGGAGAGCATGTGTTTGAGGACTGTCTTTTCTCCTACCACTAATGCAGCATTTTAACCATAGTTTATAGAGTTGTTTACATGAACTCGTTCTTTGTCTCTGTTGGCTTCAGTTCAGAGAATGCAGGGGGGGGTTTGTGTGTTGCATGTGATCCCGTTGGTGTCGGTCCCCTTTTGCTGCTTGGACTCTTCCATCTCACGTCTGAAAAAATCTGATAGTTAGGGAAGAGTTCTTTATGTCAGGGACTGCTGTAGCCTCGGCACATAGAGGACTGCACCTCCTGGATCACATAAGGTAATCCTGCATTCAGTGTTTAGTGTTTTTAATCTTGTGTTTAGAAGATTTTCTGTGGCTCATTTTTACTTTTTAAAGCTCTAACATTTGTGCGGATGAGAATGCAGTTTTGTTTGTGTAAGGATACTCAAATCCCCAACAATAGCAACTGCATCTGTTCAATGTTTGGCTCAAATCTCTGCATGTTTTATGTATTTATGCTCACTGTTTTGTATTAACAGATAAGCAAATGGACGAGAAAGAGCTGAGTGATCCACTGAACAATGTATCGTTGATCAAAGGTAATAAAGCTTAGTTTTTTCACCTCAAATTAAGGTCGTACATAATTTAGGCTGAATGACTTGGCAATGTTTTGCTTCTCTGCTGGCAAGGCATCCTTTGCTAAAGGGTAGACCTAAAATCATTTAAAAAAGGATGAGTGATGTTTTTATTTATTATTTTTGTTGGACATTTGACTCAGTTGGCTCACAGGGTTGTGGATGGCCTTATTTTTTAGAGAATAATCTCTTGTTTCACCAGCTTTTAAGAGGATTGAGTCACTCAGAGGATGCTAATGTTTATTAGCTCTGATTGAAATGACTCATGTTGGGGAAAATGCAATTATAGTCCAACATGGGATGATTTAAAAACTTTAAAAAAAAAGAGGCATTTATGACAAAATGTACAAGCAGCTTGGCGAGTGAATCAATTTTGCATGATGAATGAATTGGTAATGCTACTCTGCACATTGTACAGAGAGCATAACGCTGTCCTCTGTGCCATTTCAGACAGAATATTTCTCTGGATTATAGTTCTAGGTGAGCATTTAGTGGCTGTAATGTGATCTTGCTCCTGGGAGCGTGAGCAGTGCTTTCTGAGATAAAATCGACGACACCGAGGGTGAGCGGTGCTAAACTCTCTGACTCCATTTCCTGTCACATTCATCGGGAAGGCATCGGGCGGCAGGGAGAGACGGACCACGATGGCGCTGGCCCTCAGCGCTCGAGCTAAAAAAAGACTTTCTCCTTTTTTTTTGTCTGTCAGCACTGGAGGCACTGTGATGCTCACTCCCCCACTCCTGCTCACACACACACATACACACACACACACACTGGTCTGATGTATTTTTGCTTCTATTACTGCTTTGAAAGACACATGGCTGTTACAACAAATGTTTCCAAAGATAACATGTTGCACTGTCAAGTGAAATATCCTTTACCCCCTCCTGGTGTCTTTCAAACCAAGTGGGCACAGGGAGGGAGCCCACTCACATTCTGGCTCTCGCTCATGCATATGCAAACATGACGGAGCGCTGCCCTCTCTTGTGTTGTCTGGCACACAGCTGGTCGGTCATGTGGTTTCAGTCAAAGGATGTCACCAGCTCCTACAGCGTCTCTTTAATTTATTATTTTAGGGGCATCTGTAAGCGTCCTCTGAGAGAGAGCTAGTGACTCAACAACAACACGGCGTAGCATATGTCCTGTCAGGACTTCACGACTCCAAAATCCCTTTCAGTCCTGTGACCGGTCCATTTATGGTGCGTGATCTGGCCTGCCTCATGTTTTTGGCCTCCACCAAATGTTCGGCCTCAGATTAGGTCATCTCTTTATTTTAGTTACGATAGATTAGTGGGGGATCAAGATTTTCTCCGGGCGGTTTGCAAAGCGCAAATATTTTGTGGGGTTTGTTTCCACCACCCACCCACCCCAGGAAACACAACAGACCCTTGACAACGTTGGCAAGTTCTTCCCCCTTTGTGCATTGTGTTTGCTTGTGTGCTATAAATGAACAATGTAGACGTGCCAGAGGCTCGGATGTGGCTGAGGTGATGGACAATTTGGCCAGAAAACGCACATAACTACAGCTCGGCCTATTTCTGTACTCGCAATTAGTTGACGTAATATTTTGATATCTAGGGAAATCATCTCGCAGCCCCGTTTCAACATTTGGGACTGTGGCTGAATTGACATTGTGGAAATTTTCTGTTCTTGTTCCTTGTTTTTGTTCGGAAAGTGAGTCAGTTTCCATCATCGTGCCTAACATTTGGCCTCTTTTCGCCTAATATGGGCTCTGCTCTCAACAGCTGCAGGTTTCGTGGACCTCCTAGCTGGAATTCCTAATTTGTTTATTTTGGGCTTTATTATTAGACGACCTGAGCCGATCAAACATGGGCTCCTCTGGTGACTCAGAGAAAGTGATTCAGCGCCTGAACGATGAGCTTCAAGAGGCTTGGGACATGGCTAACGCAGAGAAACAAAAGTGCAACGAGCTACAAGGTAACGGGGAGTTTCTCAGCTCTTCACAGTGTTCCGTGTTAAATGAACACTGAAACTCTGTTTATATTTGGAAGGCCAACTGGAGAAAGAGAGGAAAGACAAAAAACAGCAAGCTGACGACTCAGCGAAACAAATAAAACAACTTCAAGGTACATGTCTTTTGTTTGTGAGTTAAAAAACGTTGGTTTTTTTTTTTTTTGTTTTTTTGTTTTTTTTGCAAAGGACAGTAAACATCGTCGCCGCCGATCTGACGGTTGATCTCGTTTTCGGACAGGTCAGCTGCAGCTGCTCCAAGACGAGCTGGGCGTTCTCAGGGAGCAGGTCGACGCCTCTTCCAGCGCACGCGACGACCTCCAAGACGCCCGGGACGAGGTCAAGTCGCTGAAGCGCGCCCTGGAGGCGGCCGCCGCCGAGAGGGACCGCGACGTCGCTTCCGTCCAGTCCAACCTGGCGACCGTCTCGAAGGATCTGGACAAGTGGCGCCAGACCGCCAACAAGTACGAGCGTGAGATTGACAACCTGCAGCGGGACTTGGAGCAGCAGAGCAAGCAGTGGCAGAAAACAGCAGAAATACAAGGTGATGCGCTTATTTGTGTTGACGTTTTGACTCGTCCAGAAATAACTACCGTATTTTTGAATTATGCTGTGGTGCTTTTGAATGTTTCTCTGACTGAAACACAAGCAGAAGATCTGCTCCGAGAGTGCACCGTTACATAAAGCATGTTTCTCTCCCCCTCCAGCCAGCGAGCTGCAGTCGCTGCAGGTGGAGTGCAACGGTCTCCAGAAGGAGTGCTCTGTCCTGCGAGCTGACAAGCAGGATATAGTGAACAAGCACCAGAAAGAGAAGAGCGGCCTGCAGAGTGAGTGTGGCTCTCTCAGGGCAGAGAGGGACGAAATCCTCAAGAGTCACCAGAACGAGAGGGCCGACCTGCAGAGTGAGTGTTCAGCACTGCGCAGCGAGAAGGAGGCGCTGCTGCAGAAACAGCAGCAGCTGGAGAGGGAAGTTATCAGGTCAGTGAACCGACTGACATCACCTGAAGTGTCGCTTCGCCCAATACATTAACGTCACATCTGTCATATTTACTCAGCTCAGCTTCATTATACCTTCAACCACTCATCCTTCAAATTTTACGGTCTCTGTTTTTTTGGGGGCTAGTTTGCGTGCTCAGAATGCTGATCTGAACAGCAGCCTCGGCGCCCTCGAGCAGTCCCAGGAGGAGCTGGAGAGGAAGCTGGAGGCGCTGCAGCTCCAGCATCAGCAGGACAACACCAAGCTGCAGACCCAGCTGGACGAAGCGGACAGCCGCTGCACGGCTCTGCAGATAGAGGTTTGCTCCTGAATGTCAGAAAGCATGAACCGGTGAAGGGTTCTCCCTTAAACCTGGCTGCAGTTCTGCAAAAATAATCCCTACATCAAACTTAGTTTTTAAAATCTTTTTCTACCCATCATGTTGATCTGTGATCAAGAACCAGATTGGTTCTGAGTGAAGTACTGGGTTAGATGTAGAGATCTCTGGAGTGCTGCTGACCACGCATATCAGTCACAGAGTTTTACAATATTAATGACGTCTCACTTAATCGCTCCCGGCAAGAAGGAAAAGTTCTTTTCATGAAAAAATTAAAATGTATTCTGAAGAAATATGTTGATTAAAAATATATATTGAATGTAACAAATCAAGTTAAAAATATGCACTTTAAACTCATACTAAACATGACTAAACATTTATTTATTTTTAATGTCAAAACATACATTTAAATCACTCGTAATAATCTTAAAACTTTTCTAACATGGTCGTTTTTTTCATTGCCTAACACATCAGTAATAAAATGTCATCAATGTGTTTCATGATAACATGGTATAGTTTTAGTTTTCTTCTTTGTGTTTGAAGCTGCGACTTCATACAAACGTACCAGTAACACTGGAAGACGTCCATTTTAAAGCCTTTATTTGTCCTAATTTATAACACAAGCAACAGAACTCACATCCCTGATTTTTACTTCATAATACCAAAGCTAAAGGAGAACTGCCAGGACTCCCATCTACAAAAATCTGATAACCTCTAACTGCTTTTCTATTGTGGTGGTTTATAAATCACATTTGATTCCTTTTCTTGTGAAAACAATTGTTATAATCAGTGAAAAATGTCTAAACTATGACACATCTACAACACCATCCAGAGAAAAATGAGACATCTGTGTTTGTAAATGACAAGGAAATTCTCAGATTCCTCCTTAAACGGATCCATGACTAGTGGTAACATTAGACTTTATTTAAGTGTAAAATAAAGACTGTAATAATACTGTAGGCTGTTTAGTTTTGTAAATTTTTAAGAAAATGTTTTAACACGGACGGAGTCATTTTATTTATACACAAAGCATTCTGGATAAAGGATGACGTGGATAGGTCCTCAGTGTGAGCGAGCTATATCCACCCTGAAGGTTAATATTGGACAATATGTGACCCATCACATCAAAACGAGGATTAAGTCCAAAAGTTGTATATGGAGAAATAGGCAAATACGTGTTTTGACTAAAATGTTAACAAAAATTGCATTTTGTCAAAATATAAAGAATAAATGCCTTATTGATGTATCATTTGAAAGAAATGTCTGAAATTTAATCATAAAACAAAATTCTGAAGCACTTTTTTGAGCAGTAGCAACAAAAAAAACTGATTTTGAGGAAAAACGCCTTAAAATTTTGAGATTTTCCCTGTGAGTTAGCAAAGCTGTGTTTCTTTTTAGCTGGGAAATCTCAATATTGAAATATAATATGAGGTTCCCACTTTATAACGACATCAAAAATTCTTCAATAAAATGACATAAAATTAGGATTCAGAATAAGTATTTGTGTATTATTATAACCAACAATATAAATTAAGTCATACCTATGGATATAATTATGATATCAGAGTAATCCAGGTGTCAAAATGTAACTTTTAAAGCCAATAATCTGAAAATGTAATTAGGTCATTTTGACCAAATTTGACTTAATCCTCATTTCGATTAGATGGGCCACATACGATTGACTCTTAAATAAAACCAGAGTGCGTTGACAGAGAGGAGAAGGTAGAAATGACTCAGACTGAAACTGAAAATATGGATGGAGGACAACAGAGTTGCTTCATGGAAGAAGAACCTCAGCTTAGCCTGTTAGCCTTTGCGCTAGCGCTGATGCTATATTGCCTTATATGTATTAGCTCAGTGCTAGTGCGACAAACTAAAAAACTAAACTGAGGTCCTCCATCTATATTTTCAGTTGCAGCTTAGTCATTTTTGTGACGAGAGGAGAATGTGTAGCGCTGAGCTAATACATATATATGGTGATAGCATTGGGGCTAACGCTAAAGCTAACAGGCTAAGCTGAGGTTCTTCTTCCATGAAGCAGCTCTGTTGTCCTCCATCCATATTTTCAGTTACAGGCTGAGTCATTTCTACCTTCTCCTCTCTGTCAACGCTCTCTGGTTTCATTTAAAAGAGCCAATCGTCAGATATTGTCCAATATTACCCCTCAGGGTGGATATAGCTCGCTCACACTGAGGACCTATCCACTTCATCATTTACCCAGAATGCTTTGCGTGTAAATAAAATGGCTTCATCCGTGTTCAAATGTTTATTTAAAAATTTAAAAAAACTAAACAGCCTACAGTATTTTTACAGTCTGTATTTTACAGTTAAAATAAATGTTTATCAAATAAAGTCTAATGTTACAACTAATCATGGATCCCTTTAAAGGTAAAACTTGAAAAACTAAAAGCGCCTTTAGTCCAGCTGAGTTGCTGCCTGCTGTTAAACACAAACACAGGAGTGTCTATCAATAAAGATAAAGATAAAGAGCCTTTGTTGGTTTGAGCTCAGCTTGATTAGCTGATGTAATAACAATCAATTCAGCAGTGGATATCCTGAGACAAAAACTGTAAGAAAACAGGTTTAACTAATAAACATAGGCACAGGAGTGAGAGAATCATACTTAGTCCGGAGTTTATTAGAATGAAAACTTGTTCTTTTGCTTCCTGCAGTACGACAAGGCTCAAACAGAGCTGTCGGATCTGAAGGAGAAGTGTAAGAAGGCCGAGCAGGAGAAACAGCTGCTCTCAGATCAGCTGGAGGAGTACAAGGCCAACATGGAGGACCTGCAGGAGAAAGGTTCAAAGGTGAGAAGAACCTCTGTCCAAAATCTTGATAACAAGAGGAGGACTTCTTTCTCAACCAGCAGGAGGAGGATATTCAAATGTGAAGCTACATTGCACTTTACATTAGCAGTTCACAAAATATCCAATGGAATAAAGTGCCGATTCATGTTTGGTAAGATTTATCTTCCCTTTAATCACACGTAGTACGTTAGCTGTTCACACATACAGGACACTAAAGCTGTAATTTATTCAGAAATACTCACATTAGCTGACTCAGACAAGTGATCTGGTCCATCCCAGAAGGTCGACATTGAGGCCACATCTTCTGTTTGTGAGAAGTCCTGCTGGACACTTAAAGCTTTGTTTTAAACACCAGTTATACGACTGAGCGACATATTAATAAAGCTGCACCCAGCCTCAGTCTGTCCCGTTGCAGCTGATCACTATAATATCCCTTCCCTTCTGTAGACGTCCCTATTGCTGCCTGTTCAAGCCATAGTCATCGGCCTTATCCTGGCTTTGCTGTATTGGTGCTTCGGCGCATTGTGGTAGTAAGGTACACATTACTCCTGTCCAGTCGGCCTACACGTCCTCTCATTCTCATCTGTGTATGCCTCTCGAGCCGTGCATGACCTTAATCGGCTTCTTCCTCGTTCTCCCAGAGCTACCTTCCTCAGAGGAAACGTGTCACCTGAGATTTCTAACCTCTCTAATCATGCAGTTTGAACATCTGACATCTGTTCGTCCCGTCTGAATGGCTTAACAACCGCTCCCCTCAGTTGGCTGTGATGATGCTATTGTTATTATTTTTGTATGTAAAAGAGCTTCTTTGTGATCTCCATTCACTCTGTGCCTCATCTTGATCTCAGTTGCAAGCTCCCTCTGTAAAAACCTTGGTGATCCTCACATGGGAGGGTTTTAGTTTTGCGATTCTTAAGTTCTTTTTTCTTTGTTTCTCTCGTACATTTTTGCAGAAACCGTGGATGATCTGGGCTCCTGTGGTTGCTGTGGCTCTAACAGCTGTGACCGCTGCAGTACTCCTCAGAACCTGAGAGCGACTTTCTCAATAAGTTTACCCATATCTGTCATCGGATCTCATCAGATTCCTGCCCTCCTTATCAAATCTGCACTTTTTGTCTGGAGGGGGCTCTTATTTAACTTTAATTCTTAAGATGTTTTATTTTAGACGGTGATAAAAGAATGTCAGTTTTGTGTTCAAATCGGTAAGTTTGTCTATGACAGGATTTTAGCCGTGTTAAGTTTACTATCTTGACTCGTAGGATTATCAATTAATATTGAATGTTTAAATATCACACCCCACTCAGCTAATTTTATTTATCTGTGATATTTTAGGAGGATCACTTGGAGTTTGAGTATCTATTTGTGCGACACAGCTTTGTAATTAAAAATAATAATAACAAAAATTGTCGTTAACGGCTGCTGATAGAGTGCTTTAGAAATGTCAGTGATGGAAGAGTGGATGGTTGTGGCGGGTAAGGCTAACTTTGTCTTTGCAGAACTGTTAGTAAAACTGGACTGGTTTCAGAGTTTTGATGCAGAGTATTTGAGTTAAGTTTATTTTTCAGTAAAGCATCATTTAATAAAACTGCAGCAACTTGCCTCTTGTACATTTTTTTTCACTAATCGCTTCAGCTGAAATCATTAGGTCTGAATAACTTACTTTCTTCTGCTGTCTGCTTTACATTTAAAACTTGTGGCTAATGAAATTTTACTTTTAATTTATAACAAGTCATAAAAAGTTCAAATTGCAGCCCTACTTTATTAGAGGAATGAAACAAATTTATGCTATTTTTGTAAAATAAATAACATTTTTAGACTTACTGGACTGCTCGTTCTATCAGTGATTTTATTTATATTTTTTGTATCTCTTCTATATACAAGTGACGTCTTTTTTAAAACTCATCAGTGACTTTACTTCTAAATAAGTCACATGCAGTCAGTATCCATTATTAATTTATGTACATACAGTATAGGCTTGTCAATAATCCTAAATCTACCTTAAAGTGCCTGCGACACGCACATCCTTCAAATACAGAAAGTCAAAGAAAACATCTTTATATTCAAGAAACCTGACACAAAACGTGATTTTATACATTTTGTCCCATAACTGGGATATTTTGTTTTGAACTTGGCTCTGCCAAAATTAAACAGGAAGTGACATCAAAGGGGAAATCTTAAAGAGGGAAATAGACGTTATCTTTGTTTATTAAAAAAATATTGTTTGAACTCTGACTCTTTCAGCTCTCTGATAGTGACTTAAAATGAACTAAAGGGACATCAGATTCTTCTTTGCAGTTGTTAGCCAGTATTACAATGTTCTGTTAATGCAGACATTCTCCTGTGTCATCACTTCCTGTTATTTCTCATGCCATTATTTCAACAACTGTTCATCTCAGCGGTGTGATATATATTTTTTTACAACATGTTATCAGTGTTATCTTTCCAAAAATGCATTCATGTTTATTGATTTCACAGGCACTTTAACGTGTTTTTAAGGATTATTTTCGTGTAAAACTTTGGATCGGTTTCATGCTAAAATGTGATTGTAGCTTAAATTAGAGCTCTTGTTTTTTCCAAAAAAAAATTTTGTTCCCCTCCATCAGCTTGTCTTTCTGGTTCTGTTGGTTTTGCAGTGTCATAAATCCCTAGGTATGACATGTCAAGAAGCAAAAATGAGGATGTAGCTCACACCGTGTTCGGAATAGTGTGAATGCAACGTGTGATTAGGGACGACCCCTTCTGCTCTATGGAAACCCAGATATGAGGGACATTCTCGTGCAGTGGGAGCCTCTTTGCGCTGATACCATGTCTATTTGTTCTGCTCTACTTTGCATGTAGGTCACCGGTAGCGGCTCTGAGATGCAGGAGGACATTTGTACTCTGCAGTCTGTGGTGTTTATATGAGAGACCCTTTGTTGATTTTACGTGTCATATAATCTCTCATTTACTATCAAACTTTTTCACATTTGGGATCCAGTGTTTTGCAAAATCAGCTTCTCTTGATAATCTTTCTAATCTACGGATTGGGAGTGAGGTGCTGCCTCAAGTGGAGGAGGAATGGGGTGAGATCAGTCTGTAAGGTGAAGCTCTCTGATAATTAACCAGCTCTTACTTCAGATATCGCTGACTGAGCTAGGGCCTCGGCAAGCAAAGGTAAAAACCCTCTTAGGCTACTGAGGTCTCCAGCCTCTTCAAATATAAGAAACTTAAGGTACTGAAGATAAGTCGTCTGGACAGTCATCTGAAGCCTTGCAGTCCTCCATCCAGTACAAATGACCTTTTAGCTGAACTTACGTCTGTGGTTCATGTCAACTGATTTGGGATGCAAGGCTCTGCTGATGTGCTTGGCTCTTGGTGGTTTAACACTATGGCACATGTTATAAATAAAAAATAATTATAACATAAAGTTTAAACATATAAAGTATTACTTTACAGAGACATAATAACAGTATAAAGTGTGAGCCAATAAATACCAGTTCATAAGGTTAAAGAAACGTGATGCAAACCAGAATAATTACCTTTATAGCTTACACTCATGTAGGCCAAGCATTATAAAATGAATTATACAAATAAGCTATAATTAAACACATCATTCATATGAATCTGACGAGTTACAGCGAGTCGTCTTCACTAACTGCCACATTAGGACCTGCAGCAGATCGTCTTTGACCCAGTGTTTCAGACAATGTTAACACAATAAGTGGGTTGTTTCAGTTATTTATGAGTTCAAAGCGAGTTGCTGCCAGTCCAACAAGTTCTCATCATTACCAAAGAGATGCAGACATGTCAATGTAATTCTACTGTTTTAAACAAACAGTAGCCAATCAGAAGCTGAGCCTTCGGTTCTTTTGCATGTAGCACGTATTAAAACTATTCACTAGACTTGGATGTTTTATCATTTTATTGTTGTCATAATCACGCTCAACATAAATTGGCCAGATTAACAAAAATAAAAAGCCCTGTTGAAGAAAGCTTATTAAATCTCTCACAGTCTAAACAAACACTAGAGATTTAATCTGAGACTTAATCAACTGTGTTTTCCTCTTTGCTGCTCTGCCGTAAAGCTTAAACTTGAACCCGGATCTCACAGGCTGATGAGGATGCAGCGTCTGTGGGAAACATTTTAAAAAACCTACCTCTACCATGACACCCTGTGGTTAGATTTTGGTCTTCAGGCTGAACCGATCAGTCTGGTTGAGTTTGAGGCTTTTGAAACACAGGGTTTGCAAAGTCAGGAAGTAAATATTTTTCCAGTCAAAATATAAAAGCAGTGAAAGCAACAACAAACCATATGGTTTGAGGTAAATATGAAGGAAAATGTGTTTAAGTGTAATGATATGTTTTTTTTCTCTCAGTTTTCTCCCACAGAACAAAATGCCACTTCTGTGAGTGAAACCCTGTGATGGACTAACCCCACCCCTCACACAGTGACTCCTGAGGAGGCCCACCTGCCACCCGAAAGGAAAAGAGACTAAAGATGATGGATTATTCCAGCAGACTTTGACATTTCTGTTTGAAACTACGAGTGATGACTTCACAATTTGTCTTACATCCTCTAGTCCATGTTGCCTTCACAGCATCTTTACAGAACCCAAGTTGATTTTGTGCGTTCGCTTTAAAACATTGACCGCCTCTTGTTGCGGCCCAGTTTTCCCCCAGTCAGTGATGAGTGATAATCAATGAGTTTCACTGGCTGCAAACAGATTGTGTCAAAGCAAACTGAACTCACTCACAGGAGCACTATTTAAATGTTAATTCTTTAGGGAGAGAAAAATCAAATCAACTCTTTCAAGCATTCTCCGAATCATCAGTGAAACAGTTCTCACGTGTCTGCATGTAGCACAACAGACAAAGAAAGAGAAATTCTTTGAAAAGTAAGTTTAATTTTTTTTTCTTTTTTTAAAACCTGCAACAGACCTTTGGAAAGCTTTTACATATCAATGTTTATTTGATACCCTCCCTGTCAGCACCTCGTGTGTATAATTTGCATGTTTTCTGTATTTTCAGGTCGGCCATGGCTGCAGATCTAGATGTAGTGAACCTGTTTCTTATTGCAGGAGGAACCCTGGTTCTTCCCATCCTGGCCTTTTTGGCTTCCTTCCTTCTGTGGCCGTCTGTTCTTATTAAAGTGTATTACTGGTAAGGTGGGGATCTAAGGTTAACTGGCAACTGGGACGATTTTAAATATTTGTCTTTTCTTTTGTGACCAGTCTCTCTGTTTGTGTCCAGGTACTGGAGGAGGACTTTGGGTCTGCAGGTGTGCCACGCAGACTGTGGAGGTTATCGCTTCTGTTACTCATACAGAGGGAAGCCTGGGATGAGACCCTCCATCTTGATGCTTCATGGTTTCTCTGCTCACAAAGACACATGGCTGACTGTTGTCAAGGTTGGAGGAACTTGAGGCATACACAGTTTAGTGTTACACACATAAACAGCCAAAATAAACAATTTTACAACAGGCAGATATCTGTCAAAAGTTCCTATATTATTTTAAATTAACTAGGAACAAAAACTACTTTTAAAATATTTTAAGTTTAACTGTAAAATTAACCTTTTACTATTTTGAGCTAAGTTTTTGCTATTTTCAGCTAAACTTTTAATGTTTTTTTAGTTAGAATTTTGCTGCTTTTAGCAGTTTACTATTTTAGCTTCTGATTAGATTTTAGTTTGGGATTTTAGTTATAGCCATTGGTTAATCTGTAGCCTTTTTAGCCTTTTACTGGGCCCATTTTATTTTATTTTAGCCAGCATTTTGCTTTCTTTTAGCTATTATTTAATCTCTTGTTCATTTACCATGTATTTTGTTGTTATAGTGTTTTCAAATTTTGATTTCATCCCCCTTTTTGTTCTGTTTAGCTATCCTGTTGACATTAGTCTTTTTAGCTAGCATTTTGCTTTTTAGATTTTGGTTAGCCTTTAGCTCAGGGGTGCCCAAACATTTTCCCCGAGGGGACCAAAATGAAAATCTATCCACAGCTGTGAGCCAAGTGCAGTAATATAATACATGAAATACAAACATTTTTTAAGTAAAGTCCTTTAATTTTAACAATCAAGCTATGCAATGGCCCTCTTTTGTTTTAGTCTGTGCACTTGGAGAAAGTCTGCCTTACGCTCAAGTAGCAAAGGCTCAAGGAACATATCATAAATTGATAAAATGAGTTTTTGTGGCCTTATAAAGTGTGAAAATCTACATGTGGGGTTAAATCTGCTCTAAATATTTCTTGTCATTTCATGTTTCATGTTTAATCCTAATAAATCAAAGATAAAGTCAGCACCATGACTGAAAACTACCTGCGCTACAGCCCTTTTACAGTGGTTTGCAAAAGTATTCATACCCCTTGAACTTTTCCATATTTTGTCACATTACAACCACAAACATAAATATATTTCACTGGAATTTAATGTGAAAGACCAACACAAAGTGGTATACAATTGTGAAGTGGAAGCAAAATTTTACATGAATCAAAACATTTTTTACAAATAAAAAACTGAAAAGTGCGATGTGCAAAAGTATTCAGCCCCCCTGAGTCAATACTTTGTGGAGCCACCTTTTGCTGCAATTACAGCTGCAAGTCTTTTAGGGTATGTCTCCACCAGCTTTGCACATCTAGTGACTGCAATTCTTGCCCATTCCTCCTTGCAAAACAGCTCAAGCTCAGTCAGATTGGATGGAGAGCRTTTGTGAACAGCAGTTTTGAGATCTTGCCACAAATTCTCAATTGGGTTTAGGTCTGGACTTTGACTGGGCCATTCTAACACATGAATATTCTTTTTTTTAAACMACTCCATTGTAGCTTTGGCTTTATGTTTAGGGTCGTTGTCCTGCTGGAAAGTGAACCTGCGCCCCAGTCTCAAATCTTTTGCTGACTCCAACAGGTTTTCTTCCAAGATTGCCCTGTATTTGGCTCCATCCATCTTYCCATCAACTTTGACCAACTTCCCGGTCCCTGCTGAAGAGAAGCACCCCCAGAGCRTGATGCTGCCACCACCATATTTGACAGTGGGGATGGTGTTTTCAGAGTGATGTGCAGTGTTCTTTCTCCGCCACACATAGCGTTTTGCATTGTGGCCAAAAAGTTCAATTTTGGTCTCGTCTGACCAAAGCACCTTCTTCCACATGTTTGCTGTGTCCTCAACATGGCTTCTGGCAAACTGCAAACGGGACTTCTTATGGTTTTCTTTTAACAATGGCTTTCTCCTTGCCACTCTTCCATAAAGACCACATTTGTGTAGTGCATGACTAATTGTTGTCCTGTGGACAGTTTCCCCCACCTGAGCTGTGGCTCTCTGCATTTCATCCAGAGTCACCATGGGCCTCTTGGCTGCCTCTCTGATCAGTGATCTCCTTGTTCGGCCTGTAAGTTTAGGTGGACGGCCTTGTCTTGGCAGGTTTACTGTGGTGCCATACTCTTTCCATTTCCGGATGATGGATTGAACAGTGCTCCGTGAGATGTTCAAAGCTTGGGAAATCTTTTTATAACCTAAGCCTGCTTTAAACTTCTCCAAAACCATATTCCTAACCTGTCTGGTGTGTTCTTTGGACTTCATGATGCTGTTTGCTCCCCAATATTCTCTTAACCAACATCTGAGGCCGTCACAGAGCAGCTGTATTTGTACTGAGATTAGATTACACACAGGTGGACCCTTTTGAGTCATTAGCAGTCATCAGGCAATTTCTGAATGCAATTGGTTGCACTCAGGGAAAAGGGGGCTGAATACTTTTGCACGTCGCACTTTTCAGTTTTTTATTTGTAAAAAATGTTTTGATTCATGTAAAATTTTGCTTCCACTTCACAATTGTATACCACTTTGTGTTGGTCTTTCACATTAAATTCCAGTGAAATATATTTATGTTTGTGGTTGTAATGTGACAAAATATGGAAAAGTTCAAGGGGTATGAATACTTTTGCAAACCACTGTATATAGTCATTTGACGAATGGAAATACTGTGTTTCTACACAGGATAACAGGTTACAACCTTGTAACTTTGGCAACTGTTGGTGGGCCAAATCAAATGGCTTGGCGGGCCAAATTTGGCCCGCGGGCCCCACTTTGGGCTCCTCTGCTTTAGCTACTTCTAGCTTTTAGCTAGCTTTTGCTACTTTTACTTCACATTTTGTTCTTTTCAGCCAGTATTTTGATATTTTAGTTTTTTTACCTGACATTTTGTTTTTTTTTTTAGCTAACGCGTTGGTCTTTTTAGCTGTGTTTCAATTTCAGCTTCTTCAACAGGTTTCAGTGTCCAGACGGTATTCTTGGAAATATTGCAATTTCTCTTATGTTTATGTTTCTCTTTATGTTTGCATTTTTATACAATGAAGTTAATTTAAAGCCTTACACATTTATATGTTCATAACTCGTGATTTTTTTTTAATATGTTTGCATTTTTGGCTTCCAAATATACAGAATGTAAATGACTTTCCTCTTTTTGCTGCTCCAGTATTTACCCAAACATCTGCACATTGTGTGTGTGGACATGCCTGGTCATGAGGGGACAACCCGTACCAACACTGAGGATTATTCCATTCAAGGCCAAGTCAGGAGGATCCATCAGGTTCTCTAAAGCACAGAGTTTTAATGTAGAGATGCATTTAAATACTTCTCTGACACCTAAACATTGTCATTGTCTCCCATCCTTCTTAGTTTGTGACAACCATTCACTTGAACAGGAAGCCGTTCCATCTGGTGGGAACCTCCATGGGTGGAAACGTCGCTGGGGTTTACGCAGCATTTTATCCCTCAGAAATCTGCAGCATGACTCTCATTTGCCCTGACGGTCAGTGTCTGCATGCATCTTTGTACTCGCGTCCCTTTTTGTTAACAGAGACATCACTGTGTGCGATCGGTTATGAGGGGAGTCACTGCAGCAAACACAAAATTATTCTGTAAAGTCGGCATAGGTGCAATTCTTCCAAACAAACAGAAAACATTATAACTTTATAAAGTGCTGACAAAAGTAAAATAATTTAGGATTTGTTTTTACTCAAACAAAGATGGGAACCAATGAGCCAGTTTTGGTAGGCCAGGGTCAGAGCGCCGAGGTCCCCGCCTTTAGCTACTGCCCATGGCATCATGCACCCGACTCGTACAGCCGATCCTGGATGCTTCAGCTGGCCTGGGAATGCCTTGGAGTCCTCCCAGAAGAGCTGGAAGAGATGGCTGGGGAAAGAGAGGTCTGGGCTTCCCTGCCCAAGCTGCTGCCCCCGCGACCCGACTTCGGATAAAGCGGAAGATAATGGATGGATGGAAGATGGGAACATTTATCAAAACTTCAGCAGCTGGACTTTAAAGTTCCCAAACTCTTATTTCAGATTGATTCTTGTTGCCAGCTCATTTAAAATGACCATTATATGTATGTAAATATAATTTGATGAGTGAAATTCCCAATTTACACTCCTAATTTAGGCCTTCAAATTATACAAGTTCAGACTTTTCTGTCTATGAAAGGTATTACTTTACTGTAAAACTGTCCCTTTGTTCATATTTATTTCATAAAACGTGACTTATCACACGTATATAATCATTAAAACCCTCCCACAGGTATAAAACATCCATGTGAAACCAAATTTGACAACCACCTACAGGACCTGGAACACAGTAACTACACCCTGAACATCCCGCTAATCCCCACCACGCCTGAAGAGATGGAGGACATGTTTCGACTGTGCTCCCACGTCCGCTTCAAGATTCCCCAACAGGTCAGCTCCATAACTAGAAACATTTATTCTCATTTGGACATTTGAAGGAAATTTCTTTCTTTCTTTCTTTTTTAGATTTTACAAGGGCTGGTGGATGTCAGACAACCTCACAACATGTTCTATGAAGAAGGTCACTGTGCTTATTTAGCACCAAGCACACAAATCTGCTAAATATCTGCTGCTGAAAGAATAAAAACACCTACCTCTTTTCTCTTGTTTTTTTTTTTTAGTGTTTATGGAGATTTTCAGCGAGAACTCAAGATATGCCTTACAACAGCACTTGCATCTGATAACTACACCTTTACAAGTAATATGGGGCAAACAAGACCAGGTAACTATGATGTAAAAAAATAATACAATGACCAGGAAAAACCTATATAAAATACTGAGATAATGACTGTTTTTACTTCAAATTCTAAACGTCCAAAGAAGTTGTGAACTCAAGTTTTCTCAGATGCTTTAATATTTTCTTGAGACCTTGGTGCCACATTGTGATGAAGCTTGTCTCATATTTTGTCCAGGTGGTGGACGTCTCTGGAGCTAGTGTCATTGCCGAGTCGGTGCCTGGGTGCAGAGTGGACCTGCTGGACAACTGTGGCCACTCTGTGGTGATGGAAAAGCCTTGTCGGACAGCCAAACTCATCCTAGAGTTCATCATCTCACAGCAAAATGCCAGGAGTTGCACAAAGAAGTCTTCTTGAAGAATTTTGGAATCACATAAAGAAAAAAAAAACATATTTCCTTTTCTTTGCGTTACGAGCTTCTGAAGACCTGACCTGAACATTAAAGCAGCACTGCAGTGTTCATGCATTAGCAGAATTTTATGGGTTGCAAGTGACAATAAAACTTTGTGAAACTACATCTCTGTGTTCACAGATTGTTTTGCAGCGTGCTTTCAAACCCTTTAGGCACAAATGGGAAAATGTTTCTCAGTGGCAAACGGGACGCTGAAAAAAAAAAAGCAAAACATGCAAAAACGATATATTTTAGTCACTAGTTTGCCGTGTTTCTTGTTTTACAGTACTGTGCAGAAGTTTTAAATCATTCTTGATTTCTTAGTTGGTTTCTAAAGCCAGACTTTATTGTATCTTTATAAGTGGTCTGGATCTACGGTTCTGGACATTCTGAAGGCTGCTTTTATTTATTTATTTTTTTTAGTAATTTACTGGCCTTGTATTTGACTATAACAACATATTGTGCATTGTCTGCTGAAAAAATGAGGAAAGTTGAGAAAAGAAGTCATTTCATGCTTAAAAATAATTTTCTACATCAGACGTCTGAAAGTCTTGTCTTTAAGAAAATTAAAACATGATGCAGCAAGTCCTGAAAGAGAACCTGAGGGATTCCTCTTCATTCAGTTTTCTGCTTATAGCACTTTGGGAACTGCCTTGTTAATGATACTGTGT